AACCCAATGACAGGGCCCTCTGAATGCCTGAGCTTTCCAGCTCTCCAGGCAGACTGTGAGTCACACACTGAATCCATCAGCCTAGAGAAACGTCATCGAACAGGATGCTACAGCTTCGCATGTGCTGGTGGGGGAAAGGGAGAAGTGGCTGGGGGAGGGAAGACAGGTATTGGAAAGGAAGTCATGTCCTGAAACTGTCCCCCAGTCAAGAAAGTCAAGAGTTCTGTGGAGATTAAGCGGGACACTTCATAACGTATCTTCAAGTACATCTCATCTTACAACTCTGATATCCAGATGTACTAGGCATGTACAGCAATGTGATGCGGTGACTTCAGGAGATGGGGGATGGGAGGAGTATTGGCCAGGAAATTATGAATGAGTCCATCCAAAGACATCTGAAAGACACGTATTTATGCAAATTCTAGTATATATTTGTCCTGTCCCGAGAAGAAAGGAAGCAGATGGAGGCATGCTTCTTCTAATCTACTGCCTGCTTTTTCACACACCCCCTTCACACCCTGAGGAAGATCTTTCTATAGAAGTTGCATAAAGAAAACCTGTAGGTGGGTTCCTCACACTCTGACAGACATCTGGCAGCCTTTGAAAAACCTCAGCTCAGCATCAGCTTTGCCAGCTGCTACTCTGCAGGCAAATACTTTCCTCAACACCACTCTAGAAGAGGAGCAGTGTTCCCATAAGTCAGGCTAAAGCAGAAGAAAAGGACATGTGATTTCATATATCAGGTCCTTCAGAACTGGGAACACAAATAATCTTGTCTCCAGCATCTGGAGTGCATTGAGATTACCAAGATTTTCTTTCAAATGAGTATTATCATTCCCAATTCCATGTTGTATTTGTAACCCAGCTACCCCAAACAGATACATTGACCCAACTGCCCTGGAAATCTGTGAGCCAGAATCCTTTAACTGGTTGCAGCAGAAAGTGACTGTGGCAATGCAGAGTAACTCAGAAAGCCCAGAAGGGGTAGGTGGCTGCTGACTGTGGCTCTAGGCCCACAGGTTGAATACCCAACTAAACTGCAACCCTTTCTAAAGTCAGGGAGATGTTTTCTGGGCAGCTTAGCTGTTTTGCAGAAAGTGGTGTCTCAGACTGTGAAGTTATTAGAGACAACAGTTTTAGGAGTGATAATCTCTGCCCTTTTTTCCTGTCAGTTTTTTGATTAGTCATCCCAGGCAGCTGCTTCCATGAAATGTGAAAAGGTACCATTATATAAAAATTTGCCTGAGCAAACTAGCTGGTAAGGAGAAGCACCAACCATTACTGCACCCTCATTATTGTTTCTACTCTGGTAGATCATCGACTTCACTAGAGCTGCTCGTGATTTGCTTGAGGACATAAAAAGCTTTTTTTTTGCAAAAGAAGCACACCAGATTTCTTTCGTTTTTGGTTTTTTTTTTTTTTTGCATTCAAGATGGTGCACTTAAAATATATTTATCACATCAGATTAAAAAGGCTTCCAGAAAATGTCTACCGTTGACTAAATGTAGTTTTCCCGTACAGAGATTTTAAGTAAAATGGAAATAAATGTCAATGAGATGTGTCTGTAGGAGGAAACATTAGTTGCCAGTTGCCTAAAAGAAAAAGTCTTATATATCTTCAACAGAAAACAAGATTTTTACTTTTGAATTGGAGCAGAAACATTTTTGCAAAGATTGTCATTTCAGTTTTCTGAAAGCCACAAATGAGCTTTTCAAGGACACCATAAAACCACTTTGGACAAAGGTTTAAAATACCCATTTTGAGTGTATTGTTTCAAATGGGCTATGAATTCACGGCCAATTAACTGAAACATGTTCCTTTTAAATGAAATTTCCTGTGTACACAATCCAATCATACCTCTGGGACAAGATATACACTCAGTAATTAATCACAACGTTACTCAGCCTTCTTGGTGTTTTCCACCTTCCTTCAGGCAATGAACCCCAGAGCCAGTGAGATAAGCATCAAACAGGAGCAGAGCAGAGAACAGGCAGGAACCTGCAGAGGAACTGAATGCATTACCTGAGGATGTTTCACCATCTTTATTTTCATAGTTGAAAAAAAACAGCCCACAAAGACTGTTTAAATCCATGAAGAGAAGAAATAGCCTCTGCTGTGTTGACACCTGCCTCAGATTTAACAGTGTACAAAAACTATTTTTGCTGTATTCATTCAAGCAGAAAGAGAGAACACAGGGGATTAATTTTTCAGCATATTTTATGAGGACTTAGAACATGTAGTTCATACTGACTTCAGGCCAATATAGCAAGGAGCACTTGCTCCTCTGTAACATTTCCTGGCATGCCCCGACTGCATTTAAGACTCACAGTGCAAGTCCTGCGTCCCAGGAACTTCTGCTGTAGCTAAGCTAGTGCTCAGTGGGCACTTTCTGCTACTCTTTACTCTCACATAAATCCCAGAGCACTCTGAGGTAGACTGAATAGAATTTAGCCCCTTTTTCCAGCAATCAGGCCTTTTGGTAAGATATAAAGGGCCTGCCACTCCTCTCATACTACTGCAAGACACACATGACTTCATTTAGATCATTGTAGAACTTCATTTCACATTAG